ATATATATATATTGCTATAAATGCAATGAGCATTGTATCAGAGAAGAAAACAGATTTTTATTTCTATTTGTGTCAAACATATAATAAAGGCAGCATTAGTTGTATTTGGTTACAATTGGAAGTCTCAGTAGAGATACAGATTTCAAACATGAATAATAGAGAGTATAATTATAGTATCTACTACCAAGAAAAGAAGTAATGCATATGAAATTGATACATCGGCTTCTTATACTATTTACCTCAACTTTTATGTCTTTTAAATAAATGTAATTGCTTTAGATAAACAGATTATTGATATAAGATTACTTTACAGAAGTTTGAAAGATTCTTCTCTGAAGCAGATGCTTCCCTGAAGCAAGTTATTCTGCTACAGATGTATTTCTCATATAATGATATTGTCAGTACATATAAAGGTCACTCCTTCCCCCCAGGTTAGAGAATACCTCTGATTTCTCTGCTCTGAGTCAAGCTCTAGTGCAAAGTCTCAACCAGAATGAACCCCAGAAACTCTCTGCCCAGAATCTGATCTCAATTTCTAATGAAATGATTTGGAATGAATGAATGAATGAATGAATGAATTCTTTATTGGCCAGGTGTGATTAGACACACAAGGAATTTGTTTTGGTGCAAATGCTCTCAGTATACATAAAAAGAAAAGATATATTTGTCAAGAATCATAAGGAACAACACTTAATGATAGTAATAGGGTACAAATAAGCAATCAAATCATACTAGGAAACAGTCAATATAAACCGTAGGATGCAAGCAACAAAGTTACAGTCATACAGTCACAAGTGGGAGGAGATGAGTGATAGGAACAATAAGAGGATTGATTATAATAGTAATGCAGACTTAGTAAATAGTTGGACAGTGTTGAGGGAATTTGTTTAGCAGAGTGATGGCTTTCGGGGAAAAAACTGTTCTTGTGTCTAGTTGTTCTGGTGTGCAGTGCTCTATAGCGTCGTTTTGAGGGTAGGAGTTGAAACAGTTTATGTCCAGGATGTGAGGGATCTGTAAATATTTTCATAGCCTTCTTTTTGACACATGCAGCATACAGGTCCTCAATGGAAGGCAGGTTGGTAGCAATTGCTTTTTCTGCAGTCCTAATTTCCTCTGTGTCTGTCTTCTCGGGTTGCAGAACCAAACCAGACAGTGATAGAGGTGCAGATGACAGACTCAATAATTCCTCTGTAGAACTGTATCAGCAGCTCCTTGGGCAGTTTGAGCTTTCTGAGTTGACCCAGAAAGAACATTCTTTCTTGTGCTTTTTTGATGTTTTTGATGTTAGGTGTCCATTTTAGGGCTTGAGATATGATAGAACCTAGAAATTTAAAGGTCTCTACTGTTGATACTGTGTTGTAGACTGAAGCAAAGGCAACATCTAGAAAGCTAGAAGAGCTGAGAGAGAGAGAGAGGGAGGGGGAGGGGGAGAGAGAGAGAGAGAGAGAGAGAGGTGTGGAAATACATAATTATTGATGGAATGAAAGAGAAATGTGTGTGTGTGTGTGTGTGTGCGCGCACAAGAGGGAGGGAAGGAGAATGGGGGGATGGGAGGGAGAGAGATCCAGTGTGTTTCTTGGCCTTTGGGGTCCATGTCTCTATTCAGTCAGGACATAGTTTAAGTGTCTTCAAAACATTATTAAGAATCTTCAGTCTTGATCAGGTATGCAGGGACAAATAAAATAACATGTAAAAGACCCAAAATAGACACACTTATTTGCTCAATATCACACAAGGCATTTGAAAGTGTGTAGTTGCATTGGCTAAATCTATATTTGGTCATTTGCACATTTCTAGCCAAGTGAAAAATACCTCAAAAGATCACCTCTGCACATGTAATAGTGGTATTTCCACTATAATACAAATACTGAACCATATATTTCAAAGATCCTGAAGCACAGGGAAACTACCAGAAGACTGGAAAAGGGATGATGTAGTTCCCATCTTCAAAAAAGCCTGACATCAATATCTGGGAAGATTCTGGAAAAGATGATCAAGCAATGAGAGTCCGAAAATAGCAAAGAAACGAGCCACGGTGTCTCTGCTAGCAAAAATGGGGTGCCCTCCGCAACCGCTTTTGGACTCCGGAGTCCTCCGGGAGGGGTTCCAGCCCAAAATGGAGCCTTTGGAGTGATCCAGGAAACCGTCCTTGACTCAGAAGGTTATAAAAGGGAGGTAAATAAAATATTTTACCTTTCAGGCTTGCAGGATTCTGCTACTATAGCCTATGTCAACAGTTTTGTAGTCTTCCTAAGGAGTCAGTTTGTTGATCTGGTCTGTCTCTCATAAGGTGATTAAAAGCATTAAAAAAATAAAATAACAGAAATATATGCTCCCTATTTTTATAAGTTTATAAAACTGTGTCTACAGAGGTCCCGTTTCACGCCTACCATGGCCACGCTCACTATGGTCACGGACCCACTGGCCCCCCAAGGTCAAACCCAATCCTGATGTGGCCCTCAAAGAAATTGAGTTTGACACCCCTGGTATAGGGGGTTGGACTAGAATCCCTTCCAACTCTGTTATTCTGTTCTGTCCTTGCTTACCACCACACAAACTGGGATTGGAATTTCCATTGCTAGGTGATGCAGCTGTCAAGTGCAACATTACACGAATGTGCTGCTTAGTGATGGCAGTTCCAGCACTCCCCAATCATTAAGTGATATCTATACAGGTCATTAAGTGAGAACCTCACCTGACTGTAACTTCCTTGTAGGAAGATGGTAGGGGAGGTTGCAAATTGTCATCATGTGGCCATAGAATACTGGAATAGTTAGAAATCCAGGCTGGAAATCTAGGCTGGTGGCCCAGCACCTAAATTGTGATCAAGTGAGTACAGAGTCTCTATGATGGTCAGAACATCAAGGACCAAGTACCGTATTTTCTGGACTATAAGCCGCTACTTTTTCCCCACGCTTTGAACCCTGCGGCTTGTACAACAATGTGGCTTATCTATAGATTTTTCTTCGCTAACTGCCATCAGGGGGCGCAAAAACGTGACAGACGCAAGAGGTCAATGCAAAGACGACGACGCTACCAGTAGTTTTTGGTGCACTCAACGCAAGCAGCACAACACGAACGCAAAATATTTTTCACACCCTCATCATGGAAAGTACATGAAGAAAAGCATATGATGCAGCTTTTAAGTTGAAAGCAATCGATCTGTCTATCCAGGAAGGAAATAGAGCTGCTGCATGTAAGCTTGGCGTTAATGAATCAATGGTGAGATGTTGGAGACGTCTGGCCACATGCAAAGAGCATTCTTCTCTTTCTGTGTAAATATCTCATTTTACAACGTATATATCTGCGGCTTATAGTCTGATGCGGCTAATATATGTAAAAATATTTTTTTCTTTTAAAATTTAGTGGGTGTGGCTTATATTCCAATACGCTCTATAGTCCGGAAAATATGATACCACTTGTTGCAAGTTTAAACGATCACAGATTTGCATGCCATTACAAGTTTGAACTGTTGTTAAAGAAATGGTCATTAACCAAGGACTGTCTGTAACAAAATCTTTTTGGCTAAGGCTAAATTTTACCTCTTTATTAGGATTAAATTTCTCACAAGTCTCCAAAATCCCTCCATGTTCATCCATCCCTTACAAAGGCAAAAGAAACAATCTACATACAGTATATAAAAGGAAAGACAGTGCAACAAAATAAACTATCATATTGTAAATAAGCCTGGATTTTTGGTATACTCTAGTATACCTGTATACTCTAGATGGAGACAACTTATATTTTACATTGATTGTTCATACAGTATTATTAAAGTTATTACTAAGATTAAAGCAATTGATCTCAGTAAATGAGGCAGAATGTCTCTGCCCACACTCACATCCTTAAGATACCACTCCCAAGAGAATAATTAATAAAAGAAGGTGATAACTCCTGTATAAGAACTCTGCATTTATCATTTTTGGATGGTGACAATAAAATTTTAAATGATATTTTTTCCAAAATTAAATTTAGAAAAATTACTGTATATCATTTCAGATATACAGTTCTGATATACACTTCTCAACAAATAAAGTTTCGTCACTCAAACTTCTAATCCAGTCAAAATAAAACAACTTGCTGTCAAGTTGACTTCTGGGATATGCAGACTTACAAAATTTAGAATGACAAAGGAATATCTATTCCGTAAGGAAATATTTATTTGGAGGTGATTAATTCAAGACAACATCAATTAGTAGATCAAGGAAATGCTCTGAATATATTTAGATTTCAGTAAGGCATTTGATAAAATAGCCCACAGCTGACTTCTTGGTAAAATAAAACAATGCAGGATAGACACTGCCACTAGTAGATTTGCAGTTGGCAGATCAACCATACTCAGTGTGTGGTTGGTTTTTAAAGGAACTACATTTATACAGAGGGAAGCATGCAGTGGGGTACCTCAAGATTCCCCTTGAGGCCAGTATTCTTCAACATCTTCTTAGATGAGAGGATTTAAAGGGCACTCGTTTAATTTGCAGATGACAGAAAGCTGGGGGGGGGGGGGGGATTGCTAACATTTCAGTAGACCCAAGATTCAGAAGGATCTTCTCAGATTTGAGCACTAGGCCATAGCCAACAATATGCAGTTCAGTTGAGAGAAAAGTAAAGTCCTGCACTTAGGCAGGAAAAATCAGATGCACAAATACAGAATAGTACCTGACAAATACAGTACCTGACCCAAACTCTGATGCCTATGAGAGGGATCTAGGTGTCCTGGTGGACCACCAATGAATTAGCACTGTGCAGCATATTCCAAAAAAACCATAGTCCTGGGTGCATCAACTGAGGGATAGTATCAAGATCACAGGAAGTGACAGTATCACTCTATACCACATTGGTATGGCCATAGTTGGAATATTGTGTCGATTCCGGTACCAATATTGTGTCGATTCCAACCTGCATTGTCACAGTTGCATCACATGACATATCATGACATTTTCCCCCTTCACTAAACCAGGTGTGGACATGGCTAGTGTGTGACTCATCTGGCCCAGGGGCTGCGAGTTTGACTGGTCTGTGATACCACAATACAAAAAAGAAGGGGCGTTGGTCCTGCCTGAACGCTTCTTCTCAGGGAGCCGAAGGGAGAATCCAGGCTGGGTAGTCTCTAGTCTCCTAGCTCTGCAGACCGAGTTGAAAACTGAGGACACAACCCCTGGTAACAGTCCCCAGTTCTGAACGACGTTGAAGTGAATTCAGCTGCTCCTTGTCTTCAAAGGGACAGTTCATTGATACTGCGAAAAAAAGGGACATTTCCTCCCTATTCCGACCAGACAGAATACAGGGTGGGACTGGATTCTCCCTTTGGCTCCCCGAGAAGAAGCGTTCGGGCAGGACCAACGCACCTTCTCCACTGAGCCGAAGGGAGAATCCAGGCTGGGACATACCAAAGCTGGCTGATGGCTGTCCTACAGGTGGGAGCTGGATTTGTCAGAAGTCCCCACCCACCTCCCTACATGCACACCCTGCAGGACTCGTCTTCCAAAGGACGCCTCCGCTGAGGCAAAGGAGTCAATTTTGTAATGTCTTATGAATGGGGTAGCCGATGACCAGATCGCAGGTCTACAAATGTCCAGAATTGATGCCTGCATTGCCCAGGTTGCGGTGGTTGCTGCACTTCTGGTTGAGTGCACTGTGATCCTCCTGGGCACAGGAAGATTCTATAACTCATAGGCCCTTGCAATGCAGGCTCTGAGCCAGCGACCTACTGTGGAAGGTGTCACCCTGCGACCTAAAGCTGATGGCTGAAAGGAAACAAACAAGGCTTCCATCCTCCTAAAAGAAGACGTTCTTTTAATGTAAATACCGAGAAATACGTCTGGCCGAGTTAATGGCCACCAAGAATACCACTTTCCATGTGAGAAGGCAAAGGCAGACTTCATGTAAGGGTTCAAATGGGGGGGGGGAGTCAGTGCCTGCAGGACCTTAGGCAAATTCCAGGTGGGGTAGCGGTGGACCACTGGTGGCCTCAGATTCATGCCCCCCCCCCCCAAGGAAGGCTTTCACCCTAGGATGTTGGGCCAGAGAAGTAGAGCCCTTGACCGAAATTACTGGAGCCAAGGCAGCCACCTGTCTCTTCAAGGTATTGGGGACAAGACCTTTATCCAACCCGTCCTGCAGAAACTCTAATACCTTTGCAACAGAAACCCCAGTGGGTTCCAATTGGTGACAAGCGCACCAACAGCAGAAAATCTTCCACGTTGCATTATATATCCTGGTTGTGGAAGGTCTTCTGGCCGCCTGGATGGTCTGAATGACCTTTGTGGAAAACTTCTCCCGTTTCAGGATCCCCCGCTCAAGCACCAGACGGTCAACCGAAACCAGGCTGGATCTGGGTGCTCGATCGGGCCCTGCCTGAGGGAGATCTTGTGCAGGGAAATTCTCCAGGGTCTGGCGACTGACAGGCTCATCAAGGACGCCTGGGCCAGTAAGGGGCTACCAACAGAACTTCCGCCCTTTCTATCAGTACTTTCCTGATTGCCTCCGGAATCAGGGGAAGTGGGGAGAAGGCATACAATACTCCCTGGGGCCACCTGCACCGGAGAGCGTTGACCCCTTCTGCTCCTGGGGCAGGGAATCGAGCAAAGAACCTCGGGAGGTGCATGTTCTCTGGTGATGCAAAGAGATCCAGAATTGGGCGGCCGAAGCGTTCCGTCATCTCCTGGAATAGACTGGGATGCAGTCGCCATTCTGACTGGTCGACTGTGGCCCTGCTCAACCAGTCTGCCTGCACGTTGGATACTCCCGAGATATGTTCTGCTCGTAGGCACAACAGGTTTCTCACCGCCCACCTGCACAATTGAGTTGCTTCCTGCATTAGAGATCTGGAGCATGTGCTCCCCTGCCAGTTTATGTGGGCCTTGGTAGCCACATTGTCCATGAGGAGAAGCACATGTCTCTCCACCACCTCTTGCCTCAAATCCTTGAGCGCTAAGCGGGCAGCCCTGAGCTCTAGCCAATTTATGTTGTGGGTGAGCTCCTCTCGTGACCACCTCCCCTGGGTGACCTGGGCTCCCAAGTGGGCCCCTCAACCATAGAGGCTGGCATCGGTGGTGATGGTAATCCTCTGAGGTTCCCTGTACAAGCATCCCTGATCCATGGCTCGGGACTGCCACCAATGGAGGGAACGAAGAACTGGTAAGGGGACGCGAACCCTCCTTGGGGAGTCACCCCTGCTCTCCCTCTGGATGGGAGCAGGAACCACTGAAGGGTTCAGGTGTGGAAGCAGGCCCATGGGACAATCCCTATGCATGATATCATCTTGTCGAGAAGTCGAGACAGCAAGATGATAGGTGCCTCTCGGGAAGACAGGATCAGCGACGTGACTTCCCTGATACTGTCTCAATGCTCCTGTGAGAGAAAAACCTGTCCGGCCAAGGTGTCTATAATGGCCCCCAAATGCAAGATCCGAGTCGATGGTACTAGGTGACATTTGTCCAGGTTTATCAAGAACCCATGCTCTAGAAGAATCCTGATTGTCGACATCAGATCCTCCTCCGCCTGGGGTCTGGAAGAGGATGTATCAGGATGTCATCCAAATAGCATTGGATCATTATGGATAAGGTTCTGAGGTGTGCCGCTACCGCTGCCAAGAGCTTGGTAAAAGTCCAAGGGGCTGATGACAGGCTGAACGGAAGAGCCCTGTATTGAAAATGGTGGCCACAATAGCAAAACCTCAGGAACTGATGGTGGTTGGGGTGTATGGGCACATGGAGATGGGCCTCCATCAAGTCTACCGAGGCCAAAAAATCTCCCTCCCGCAGTCCCTCTAGAATGGAGTGGGAGTGCATCTTGAACCTTCGGTAGATGTCTGTTGAGCCCTTTCAGGTTGAGGATTGCTCGCCACCTCCCACCCCACCCCCACGGCCCTTGGAATCACAAACAACATTGAATAGAACCTCTGTCTCTCCTGGTCCACCGGAACCGGCTGGATGGCACAAATGTCCAGCTGATGGTGGATTGCTGATTCCATGAGATCCCTCTTTGAGGGGTCCCTGGAGACAGGACAGCACAGAAAGGCTCTTGGGGGGAAGGAGAGAAACTCTAGAGGGAGACCCGACCGTAAGGTTGACAGGATCCAAATGTCTGTCGTGGTCTGTTCCCACCTCTGTCAGAACAGTCCCAGATGGCCCCCTATGGGGGATGAGGCTCGGGTGTCACTTGTTGCTCCTGAAGGGTCTGTTGGAACCCCTAAAGGACTTTCTGCCCTCCTGCCTCTGACGCCCTCTGGCAGCAAAGGCCTGTCTATCGGCCTGAGAGGAGGATCTCTGGAAAAAGAGCCTACTTTGAAGGGGAAAGCCTGCCCCAGCTTCTTCCTGTTTAAAGGAGGGCTTCCTGTAGTAAGGATGAGACCTGTAATCAAAGCGCCTCCCCTGGGAGGGCAGAATCTTTTGCTTGTCCCTGGTTTCTGTCAAAAAGGGATCCAGGGCTTCCCCAAAAAGCCTCTCTCCCTTAAAGAGAGCCGACGCCAGCTTCCATTTGGTTCTGATGTCCATCTGCCAATTTCTTAGCCAGAGAAGCCTGTGTGCTGTTATGGAAGAGGCTCGTAGAACATCCTCCACATCAGGTGGGATGACAGATGAGGAAGCTAGGGCTACCACTGGGCCATCTACCTTTGGCACTTCCATAATGTCCAAAAGGTCTTTGTCCACATTAAATAAGGTAGACTCAGACCCACTGGGGCAAGTGTACATCCCAGGGGACTCCCACTGCTTTTTGATCAGGTTCAGGAACATATGGGGCACAGGTACAGGGTCCACCACAGATGCTTTCTCGGTGAACAGGAAATCCTCCTGATCCTCTCCCTCAGTGGGAAGGTCCTGTGTGACCATGTCCTTTTTGAGATGAGCCGTGTTCTTGGCCTTAACCAGCAGAGTCTTGAAAAGAGCTGGCTGGAAAATGCCCTTAAAGGAGGCGAGGCCTGCTACCTCTGACTCCTTATCCGAAAAATCCCTTTCTGGAAGGTGGTCCCTCTTGGAGCCATAAATTTGGCTGCTTTCTGAAGGGGAGGCCGAGCGCTCTCTGAAGTGGACCAGCTTTTCAGCAGAAGCCTGCCCCTGCAGGACTCCTCTGCTAAGTTCCAAATAAGACAGCGGGCTCAGCTGGTTGACCTCTGCCTGCAATTCCTGTCTTATTGTCTGGGAGATCCAGGCTCTCATGAAGGATGGCATTTCTTGCATCTGGGTCTCCTCCGGTCGTAAGCCAGCTGCTGTAGGTATAAAGGTGGCTGCAGGCACAGGTCTGGCTCCACTGGAGATGGCCTGCAGGTGGCGCCATCAAGATTCCCTGAAGCGGCTCAGAAAAATTGTGAGAGGTCTCAGCCCTGATTTGGAGGTTACCCTGCAAATCGTGGGTACTTGAGCCCCCAGGAGACCAGGCCGTCATATACTGCCTATCTGCCAGTTGGTCTGGCTGCCTGTCATCTTGTGGAGGCGAAGTTTGAGGGGTGGCTCTGTATTCAGCCATCCTGGAATCTCTCACTGCCCTGTCAAACTGTTTGTCTATGGTCTTTTGTCTACGCCTGGCCTGTCTATCCTCATCCCTAGAGGATCTCTTAGGGGCTAGAGCCCTAGCTCTAATCCTAGCTGCTGCCTCCAGACCAGCAGATCTGGGCTTAGAGGATCCCTTTACAGCCTTCTCTCTACCCTTCTGAGGAACTGACAATTCTTGATCAGCTCCCTTGGCAGCCATCTTTGAGCCCGCCAAAAATAACTGTCACTTGACAAGGGTAGAGAAAGGGAGAATGAAGTAAAAATAAAATAAAATAAAATAAATATTCAGCCTAAGCTGTCAGCTACAGCCACAGTAGCTGTCCACCACTTCAGGAGGCTAGTGCGACCCAAAGTGGTGAGCTCAGCCCCGCTCCGCAATTCAAAAGCTGAGTCAAGGAAAAAAATGTGAAAAAACAGCTGCCTCTTTGAATTGCAGCAAGCCCTGACAGGTCAGAGGCTTGCGAGCCTAATGCTGGCTGCACCGCAACTGTCAGGCAGACTTAAGCGTCTCGCAGCTGCCACAGCACTCTGGGGACTGGATGGGGGGGTCAGGATTTAATCCCGATAGCCAGAACCCCCCCCCAAGGGACAATCCTGGAGACAAACTGCAAGATTGTCTCCGAACAAAATAAATGGCCGCTGCTGACGAAAAGGGACAGAAGCGCTTAGTGGCAGCTGCGGCTCATCCCGGGCAAAGGAAAGTGGATCGGGAGGAAGCAAGTTAAATAAGATGCCGGTTCCCACCTCAGCCCGGGCCACACAGGCTCTCAGGGTCACCTCCACTCCAGTTTTGACAGAAAACAAAACAAAAAAAACCAGTCCACCAGCGAGGAAAGTCAAAAATTAAAATAACAAGCAAAAAAACCACAAACCGGAAAAACGGTGTGAAAAAAAGAAAGTGCTAAATCGGCAATCCGGCTAGCTGTCAAACCTGATCTAAGCCTCTCTGCGAAAAAAAGCTTAATCCAGGGGGTGAATATTTTTCTACAATCCTAACTATTCAGAGCCCTTAATGGGAGATCTGAACACGCTGAGACCAAGTGAAGAACTGGGTACCGTTACCGGGGGGGGGAGTGTCCTCAGTTTTCAACTCGGTCCTGCAGAGCTAAGGAGTCTAACCCAGCCTGGATTCTCCCTTCGGCACAGTGGAGAAGCTGAGGCTCTAAAAAGAGTGCAGGGAAGAGCAACAAAGATAATAAGGGATTTGGAGGCTAAATTCTATAAAGAACATCTAAATAAACTAGTTATGCTTAGCTTAACAAAGAGAAGATTAAGGGGAGACATGATAGCAGTCTTCCAATACTTTTTAAATCAGCAAACCAACTTCTATAGAAACTCTCTAATTACCAACATTTTTAAAAACAAGATTGCCAAGAACATTTTTAATTTTGGTATTCATTAAAAAACATAACAGTACAATACTATTCAATGTAAGGAAAATTAAAATATTTGAGTGATCTATCTTGTTTTCCCAATCATGACTTTATGCACTTCAGGTCTGATATACATTTCCTGCATTCTATCTGAATAAGCAATGTAAATGACAACTCTTCTGTTGGTTATTTTCTATATGCCTTACAAATTAATTATTCAAATTATTAATTTTTATCCCACATTTTTATTATATCTGCATAACTTAAAGCATAAAACATACCTAATACCCCAACTCCTACTTTTTTCACAACAATCCAATGACTGGAGTTGAATTGAAAGAAAGCGATTGGCCCAAAGTCATCCACCCAGCTTTCACATGGAATAATAATTTCAAGACATTGTTCATGCAGTTATTTAAAGAATTGTTTTACTTCTTGGTAATTCTTAATAAAAAAAAATCCCCCAGAGAACTTACAAAGGTTATTAATAAAAGATCATTAATGTACTTTGGCTTACAGTCTATGATAGAAACTAGAAGAAAAATGATTGGGAAGCAAGAGAAAAATAATTCAATTATTGGTTTTCTTAGTAATATTTGTAACTATTACTGGACAACTTGTGACTTGCTGGATCATCGTTCTACAGATATTTCTGTACCCAATTCCTCAATGTTGTCAACAATGAGCATAATGAAAATACTTCAGCAAGAAAAATTACTTCTCCATAGCAACTGTTTGCAGATATAACTACACAGGTGGTTCACACCTATTCGCTAGAACCAGCTGTTAACATTCTAAGCAGTTTGGAGAACCGGTTGTTAGAAGAAACTACTGGCCTAATCCTGTAAGGAAGTCAGGAAGGAAACATTCTGGTGTCGCTTACAGAAACTGCCTCTCCGTTAACCCTTATTACATTCTTGGCAGGACTAGACTTCCTGTCTCAGGAACATCTCTGGAGTTATTTTTCCCTCCTTTGCTGGTACTTTGCTTGTGTGGAGTGACCATTCAAAATTACAGTGGCACTGAAAAAAAGTGACTTATGACCATTTTTCACACTTACGACTGTTGCAGCATCCCCACAGTCATGAGAGGCCAGGCGAGGAGATGCGTGCCTCGATGTGATACTGAATTGGCCACGCCCAGCCAATATGACCACCAAGCCATGCCCACCAACTTAGCCACACCCACAGAACCGGTTGTTAAAAGATTTGAATCCCACCCCTGTATAACTATTGTGGTCAATTGTAATATTTACGACCTTAGCAGGTCTGTAAAGCAAAGGAAAGCTGAAGTAAAATCACAACCATAGTCTCAGTTTCACTTAGTGATTACTTTATAACTAAATGGTGGGTTCTGGTTGTTAAACAATCCACCTATAACCCAAAATGCATTTTTCATTTTGTGCCCTCAGTATTTATATTGCCCTAAGCTCCTGAAGGAAAAAGTTAATATAAATATAACAAGTAAATATTGTTGTTTTTCATGTCAGAAATAGCATATGTGTGTGAGAGAACACTTGCAATGAGTTAAGTAGTAATACTTAATGGATCTCAAGCCACTATGAGGACAATACTGGGCCTCAAGCACACATAAAAATCTTTGTTATCAAACTGATAACTATAGTGTTTTACTGTTTTTCTAAATCGTCTTTATATAGCATGTTTGTAAAAGAACAGGAATCACTGCTTTACAACTCCAACTGGGAATGGAATCTGAGTCATTGAGTTAAGTGGCTGTCCCATGACTGTCCACGTGAGTCTTCACTAAAATGACTAACACTAGCACACCCGGTTATCATCAGGCAATCAAATGAGGGGCCCTAGGAGGCTGCATTCCTAAGCTGAAAATCCGCCATATCAAAATCCAAGCAGGATTTTCAACCCCTGAAGAGACATTAATGCATGGCCTGCACCAGGCTTCCCAGGTCATACCGATTGAAGCACCCCACATAATCCTTGACTTTACAATACTGACTCTATTCTCCAATTATATTTCAGCTCCTTCTTGTCTCTGGGGGCTGGCTGAAAGAACTGCCTGCCGAAGGAATTCAGCTTCCTCCATCCACAGAACTCCTTCAGCAGAGTGAAGGAAGCAAGCCAAAAACTTCAGGATTTCAGTTATTTTTGCACCTTGCCGAAGACATTCAACTCCCCTCAGGAGGCAGACCTTTCAGCCAGCCTCCAGAGTAAGGAGTCCTCTCAGGAGCCAAGAAAAACTTGCAACCTTCCCCGGGAAGATGGCAGAGAAGATAGCAAATGGCAATCACAGGCTTTTAGTAACTGGTCATAAGTATGAACAGGTTGTCAACCACCCAGGATTGCAGCCACATGACTGCAAGAGTGGTAGTGCAATGTTTTGCAATAGCCAGAAGTGCCTTATTAGCTGTAAGGCATTCTTTCCTAGGCCATCGTAATTCCAGATTGTTAATCAAATGGTCCTAAATCAAGGACTACATGTAAGGTTAAAAAAATTAGGCCCTTGCAGATGTTGTTGTGCCATGATTCCCATCTTCTTTGGTCATTGTCCACATTGGCTATAGTTGACTGGACTGGAATCCCGTATTAGGAGCAGGACCTGCACACTCTTAATGTAAACGAGACAATGTAAATTTAATGTAAAGTTGCCAAAATTATTCCTTCTAAAAGATCCTTAACATAGAGGACTAGAACTTGATACTGTAGCTACCACAGCCTTTTCAAAACTCTTCCTGCTATTAAGAAGGATTGCAACCAGACTTGAATGGCAACTTAGATGCCCCTTAATGGACAGAGTGAACAGAAACCCGAGGCAATGGCTCCCACAGGTAATGAATGACTTCAGAAAACCAAGTCTCTCAAAAGCACTCCAGCGACTAACCCAAAGACAGAGTACACTGACTTTTAATCCCAGGGAAATACTAGAACTAGAAAAGGCCACAGGTTCAAGCAAATGACAGAAACTCTGGCTAAAGTCACCAAGCTCGAATAACACTACACTTGTTGTTAATGACCTAATTAGAGCAGAAGCAGTTGCTGCTCAAAAACTTGTTTGCTAAAAGAGTGATAGAGTTGGAACCAATATGCCAGAGTCAGATGTAACACAGACCAAATTAAAGGCAGCTGAGGGTGGGAAAAAATCTCATGTGAAGTTAAAGGTGGCTAAAATACAAACTACTGTAGTTATAATAAAAGAGGAGAAGGGGCTGCTCAAGTCACAGTAGGAACTGAAGCACTCAGATACACTATAAAACCTGAATACGGGCTTCTCCCTGAGGAGCTGGCTGAAGCAAACCTTCCTCATAGGGATGTCTTATTACATCATAATCCCTGTCAACCCTGTCAAATTCGCAAAGCAGATGTGTCATGGCAGGCCATGCCCGCCCCAGCTCCAAGAATGAAAAAAATGTCACGAAACGTCACATGATGGCAACATGATGCCGCGAGTTTGACACCGTGCCATAGACGATATTGATGTCTTTGATGAAAAGTCCATCCAGTAACTCTCAAACATTATACAAAGGTTTATAACTGCAAGCTAGGCCTCCTACATACTCTGATGGATCAAGGAAATATGTGGAATGTCTTCCAAACCACAACTCACAGATCTTGACAAAGGTCTCACATCAAACAGAGAATTTACAAGCACATGTGATCTTGCCAGTTAACTTCATTCTTTTAGCAAGTGTCTGGACCAGGTTGACCTTGGAGACCTACATTGCTATGGATGTCACTGGACATAGGATGCATAATGGTTTTCCCTGTTTTCTAGATATTTTATTTCAAATTAGATATATCTTGTCAATTTTCTTTGATGCTGTTTTTTGACCTTCCACAGGGTGGCCACTTTCCCTACAGATGAATGTTTTAAAAAAGGAAGTCTCTTGCCATTCCATGTATTTGTCCTATCTTTAGTCAGCCCTTTTTAGTTCATCCTGATATGGAGGTTGTTTGCAGCATCTTAATCTACTGATATCATTTTTGAGGCTGTCTTTGAGGAGATTCCAGTATTCCAATATACATGAGGAAAATATTAGCTTAGTAGTTGTTTTAACTAGGTGAGAACTTATGACTTTGGGACATGAAATTCATTGATCCTCCATGGAACTTGGAAGTGGAGCTTCTATTAATCCCATCTCCTGGCATCCAACTTAACCTTTTGATAAAATGGCTGAGATGCAAATTCATCAGAAACAATCAAGGCAACCTTTTGAAATGATCCAGATAGCCCCCTGGATTCTGACTGGGATAGACAACCAACCAACTTGATAAAGTGCACCAGAACTGCTAGAAATTCCTCATATGCAGAGATTAAAGAACTTTCCGAAGATTGTGATGTCTTCAAGGTATGGGAGTTGCATGACATGTTGACTAAAGTGGTACCAGAGACAACCCATAATATGCATACCTATAAACAAAGGTGCTAGAAAACAGTTGAACTTTCCATTCCCAACCACACAACAACATTCACAATGTAGTAAAATGTATCTCTGTGATCAGGGCTATCCCCAAAACAAAGAAAACCTCTATCTTGGGCACCACAATGTCCATCAATCAGAGTCAGCAGACCACACCTCTCAATTCATTCCTGCAGCCTAATACAGGTTGACCTAGAACTCCTGGGGAAAAAAAGATGCAATCCCATCTGAGCAACTAAAATACAATCCCCAAGATTCAAATCAAAATCCAATGCTCACCCAGATGCCATCTATTCAAATATGTAATAGCACTTATCTGATCATTAAGAAGTACATTTCAGGTAAATTGTTAGCTCCCTCTCACAAGAGATGGCATCAATCATCCATTACACAATCTTCTCCCCAAAACTGAACAAACCCTTCAAAATTTTTTGATTGTGACAATGATGCTCCAAAACTATAGAAAGAAGCTATGCTCAATAGCCATGGAGAGGAACAATATTACTGAAACTACAGTAGTTCTGATGAATCTGAGTCCTACCTGAACAAAAATAGTATTCTTAGAAGCAGGCAACCACTAGAACCAAGCCTACTTGGCCAAACACAGAATTAACAAACTTGCCAACTGGCCCACATTTAGGGATGTTTCCACCATTTTATAATCACATGACCATGATTTTAACCATATTTTTGTTTGACAGAAACTGGTCTTTAATTCTGGTTTCACACAAAAAAACAGCCATTGGCTGAAATGGATTCATTTAACAATGGCCACATTCACTTAAGGATCACAGCATTGCTTAATGACTGCTCAAAATAATCATGAAATCATGTATGACTGCCATGACATAACAAATTCTGAACTCAATTATAATAGTAAGTCAAGGACTAGCTGTACTTTCTTCACAGCTGCTTAAATCCTATAATCTTCTGGCAGTTAGTCAAGCCTGGATATAACCTAATCCAAAGAGATCCCAAAATGTTCTATTTGATGTCTGGGGATCCTGCTTTATTAAAATATGATTGTTAGATACTAGCATCTATTCACAATAGGAAATCTGCAACTTCTAACCTTGTCATTCCTCAAAATCTAATTTATCAATTAATCTTTATATCTGAACTAACCAGCAACTGTTCTCATGAAATCAGACTATACAAATATAGCAACACTTTTCATGTAACAAATTCTCAATTTGAACACATAAAAATAGAAGAGGATAGTTATTTTTTCCTGGATTTTTCCTTTAACCAAAAAGCAACTAAACATGGGCATTTAACAGTCTGATACAAGCATTAAGAGCAGTCCCAAGATAAAAAGTAAAAATCAAATTCAATTTCATTTCAATTTAATACACATTAATTTAGAATTTAATACAATAAATTGTATTAAAGAATACAATAGAGTAATAAAGAATTAAGCAGAAAGGAGTCCAAGACACTTCCTTTTTAAAATTAACAATTTATGTAGCTATATAAATGGAATCATCTTTGAAAATATTTTCATGGGAATGCCCTAGATTCCCAGTCAATATCTAAGATGCTATCTACTGTAGATAAATTCTAGGACCTATTTAAGAAAGACTAAAGTCATCAAGGAAGTCAGTATGTTCTCTAAAATTTCTCCCAATAAAATTTATCTTCTTTCAGGTAAAAGCAAGAGTAAAGAGCAAAATAAAAGTACTGTTACATCTATGTTCTGGGTTGAATTCTCTCTCTTGGATATCTTGTCTTTTTATTTGCTAGCAAAAGCTCCCTTGTTTTGTCATCTTTCGCAAAAGTCATCTGTATCAGGAGGATCTGTCCCACAGTGGTTCTCTTCTTTCTTCAGTAGGTATTCAGATCAAGTTGAACATCACCATTTCAAAAATTTTGCCCAAGTTCTCCTGGAAAACAAATCTTCAACAGCCAAAATTGTTTAGACCAATCTTTACTTGTGTTTTATCTCTCTTTCTTTCTCCTCCATTCTCCCCAGACTTTTAAGTTTTCATCTTAAAGAGTTTTCATCCAGTGCAACTTCTAGGAACTTCCAAAACATAACACCCAGCTGTAATGTTTAATATCAAACTGGAAAAATGCATACATTTTAAATTGCCAGGTTTATTTATGTTTAAGGTTAACTAAATGTGCCTGTCTCGGACGCACTTACTAATATTTGAAATATCATCACCAGATATTGACAAAAACTTCTTGGTAAGATAAAAGAATATGAATAGACAGCATCACCACCAGAAGGATTTGTAACAGGTTGACTAACTCCACTCAACATGTAGTCCTCAGTGGAATTAGATGTACATGGACGGAAGCATGAAGTGGGGCACCACAAGGTTCTATCTTAGGCCCAATTCTCATCAACATCTTCATAAATGATTTAGATAAGGGGATAGAAGGGGAACTCATCAAATTTGCAGACCACACTAAACTGGGAGAAATAGCCAACACTTTAGAAGATAGGCTCCAGATAGGCAGGGAAAACACAATGCAAGAGGGCTCTAGGAATCCTGGGGAGAACCACTTTAATGGGAGGCAGCAGGGTGCTGCAGCTGCAAAAAAAGTCAATGCAGTCCTAGGCCGTATCAAGATCACATGAAGTGTTAGTATCGCTTTATGCTCCACTGATAAGACCGCACATGAAATATTGTGTCCAGTTTTGGCCATCATGATACAAAAAGTGGTTGAGACTCTAGTAAGAATACAGAGATGAGCAACAAAGATTATTAGGGGACTACAGTTTAAACCAGGGGTGTTCAACCTTGGCAACTTTAAGACTTGTGGACTTCAACTCCCAGAATTCCTCAGCCAGCAAAGCTTCAACTCTGGGAGTTGAAGTCCACAAGTCTTAAAGTTGCCAAGGTTGGACACCCCTGGTTTAAACCATACAATGAACGTTTGCAGGGACTGGCAATGTCTAATCTAATGAAGAAAAGGACTAGGTCTGACATGATAGCAGTCTTCCAATATTTGAGGGGCTGTCACAAAGAGATGTTGATCAACCTATTCTCCAAAGGACCCGAGGGCAAGACAAGAAGAAATGGATGAAAGCTTAACAAAGAGAGATCCAATCTAGAATTAAGGAAAAAATTCCTGTTAGTGAGAACAATTAATCAGTGGCTTGCCTTCAAAAGTTGTGGAGGCCTCCATCACTGGAGGTTTTTAAGAATAATGGAGAGCTATTTGTCCAAAATGGTAGAGATTGTCCTGCTTGAGCAGGAGGGTGGACTAGAAGACATTAACCAATTATTTTGATGGATAAAGTACATGTATTGGTTCCACCAAATCTGCAGCACCAAACATGGCTTAAAATAGAATAAAATAAAATACTGTAAAATAAAATAGTATAAAATAAAATACTGTAAAATAGTGCATTCTTATAGCAGGGATTTGCAAACCCAGTTCTTCTCTGTATACTGTACACAATGAATTCAAATTAGAGGTAAATATAATAAAGTATGGAAAAGGAGTATTGGCATATTTCTGTTTTAAAATATTTACATTTGAAATATAATTCAAAGTTTAAAAGGCTAGCAGTTATTGTATAGAACAATGCATTCCTACTCAATGGAAATATATAATACATATCATCTGTATTTGATAACATTTCTGATCAGTTAAATTAGATTAAGTATGTTGTCATATGAATAACAAAAATAATATCGTTCTGGTAATTTTTGAAAAATTAAGCGACTTCAGCTTTTAGAACATTTTTAAACTCATCTGTACAATTATTTTAGAAGAGGGACAAAGGCATGCTACAATCACCCCAGAGCTTGTTAGGTAGCATTTTCTCAATATGCTACTATAGTATTAAAACATCCATTGAGGATCAAAAAATAAATTTCAATAATGCCATAAGAATAACGCAGCATATTTTAACCTAGATGTAGGATTATTTTAATAACCTTTCAAGAAACCAATAATTTAAGTTTAAAAGTATAAATTACTTCATCTGACAGCTAGACAGACTCCATTGAACAGTCTTAGGGTGTGAAGGTCTTTCTAGTATGTATATTTGTACTGTAATATCTGAATCAAAAGCTCAGAAAAGTGGTTCAATCCAACAAAAATATCAAACCAGCAAGCAAGATTTCTTTCAATTATGGCCAGACAGGCCTAATCTACATGAATTTAACCGCACCATAATAATAATAATAATAATAATAATAATACAAAATTCCTTCTCCTGGTATTTGAAATCCCCGCACCAGTTCTGCCCAATATGTAATATAATAATAATAATAATAATAATAATAATAATAATAATAATAATAATAATA